GGTAGGTGTGGTTACCTCCATATTACAGGAGAGGAAACTGAGGTCCACAATCACACTGAGTCAGTGACAGAACTGAAGTTCTAGACCATAAAAGTTCTGAGGTTTCTCAACCTCAGAAGTGTTGACAGTCTGACAACCCAGCCCCAGACAGGTGACTGTCATGGGGCTGCCCTGTGCGTGCACTGGAGAATGTTTAGTGATGCCCGTAGCATCCAGTCATGACCATCATAAGTGCTTCTCCTGCAGGTTATTGCCACATCACCCCCACTTGAACTGCTGTCTTCAAACCCCAAACCAAGTCCACTCCTACTTCTGAGGCCTTGAACTTGCTATCCCCTCTGAGGGAGCCCTTTCGCAAATCTTTATCAGGCTGGTTCTTCTTGATTGCAATCATCAAAGAGCTTCCATGGCCACTCCTTCTAACACAGTAGATACACATCTCCACATTCAGTTGCACACACACACACAGAGGTACACACAGGGAGACGTGCACATAATGTACACAGGCTTGTCCCTTCCAGTTCTTCACTACATCCTCTGCACATTGCATAGTTCTTGACTCATGCTAGATACTGAATATTCATTGAATAAATGATCACATGAACCACCCCCCCTACACTGCAGTCACATCAGGTTGGCCCAATAGCCTACTCACTTCACTCTCCAGGGCAGAAATCCCAGCATCTCTGAGTCTACCGTACCCAGCAGCATCTCTGAGTTTACAGTCCCCAGAATTGTGCAGCAGTCTATGTTCAAATTCCATGTTAGTCACTGGTCATCAGAGTGGCTGAGGCCAAGGTGTGACACCTCTATGATCTCTGAGGTGGTGCCTCATCATCCTCATTTTTATTCTGAGAGGTCCAGATATAGTCCTTGCTATCACGGGTCTCATATTCGGTGAAGATACACACAATAAATGATTATGTAAAAATAAATATTTATAGGTTGAAGTCAGGAACCGTGGTGCATGCTTATAATCCCAGCTTAGCAAAAGGGTATGGTATGATGATCACCTGAGGCTGGCCCTGGGCAAAAACTCAAGATGTTATCTGAAAAATAGCTTTAAAGCAAAGGGGGACAGGGTTATGTATCAAGTGGTAGAGCACTTGCCCTAACAAGTGCAAGTCCTGAGTTCAAACCCAGTGCTGCCGAAACAAAAGAGTATTGTAGGTTAGAGCAAATAACAGGTTGGTATAATAGAAAGTAGTGAAGAAGCTCTTCTTTTTTAGAAGTAGCCAGAGAAACCACCTTTCTGAGTTGATAGCAAAAGACGAGAAAGGGTGATCCGTTTGCATGAAGAGCTAAGGGAGAGAATTGTAGGCAGGGGCAACAGCAGGTGCAAAGCTCTAGCTGAGAAAAGGCTTCTGTGCTCAACAAACAGAAAAGAGACGAGTGAACAGATGAGAGATAAACTGACGGTAGTTGTGAGTGTGTTCAAGAAAAGGATGGAGAGATAAGGTAGGAGCAGAGTGCCAGAACTGGGGTCTGCTCGCAGTCTGCAGGATGTGGAGAGAAGCCTGTGTTTGGCTCTAAGAACTATGGGAAGCCTTGAAGGGTTTTTATCAGGAAGTGCAATGGTCTTGGGAAAGACATTTGACATCTCACCTTTGTTTCAAGATCCAGGTGAAAGATGACAGAGCTGAGCAGGTTCACTTGGCTTGCCTGCAGTTATACCCCATCTACGTTCAGGCTTCTAGAAGACACTACACTGTCTTATCCTTCTGTTTACTATACACACATCTGTAGAGTGTGTACGTTGTGCCAAGCACTGCATTTCACTCCTGGTGGTATGCATCTTCATACTGGTACTGTTTAAGAGTCAGTCTTTCTATTTTGCAATAAAGAAATCGTAGAGAGGCTGATTTTTAAATTGAAGTTGGTTGAGGCCAGAACCAGTGATCTGGCTTCTACAGCACTGTATGTGGAGTGCCCATAAATGTGTACCGGGTGGGCAGCAAGGAAGGAGCTGCTTGGCCAAAGTAATGTAATGCACAGGGTACGGGAGAGCCTTTGGAGCAAAAGTTCTTCCTCATGTGAGCAGCAGTAGACTTTGCCTCCCGGTACCCGGACGGGATGACAACCATGTCTTGTCAGTGTCAACAGTCAGGTGGGCAGAAGAGCCCTGTGTTCCTGGGAAGCATGGTGGGGGAACAGAAGCTGGGAGTTGCATTTGAAAGAACTGGTTCTCTTTCAGTGCAGATCGTTGAAGATGGTGTAGGAATGAGGAATGCTGGCAGGAACACTGATCATAATAACAGAATGAGTGCCTGCTATCTACTAAGTATTCCAGAAATGGACTCTAAGAGGCCGTGAGTTTAATAAACACTTTCCACATTAAAACAAGCATTAAATTTACACAGTGAAGTTTGGTTGTATTGTGCTTTTATAGAGACCATACTTATTCATACCATAGCATCTTTATTCTTCAGGTTAACAATGCCAGTTTGGATTCAAGCCATGATTTTCTGTCAACAGCCTGGCATGGTCTTTCACCCATATTTATGCAGCTCCCACGACCCTCTTGGAGCTTCTTTGGTCCCTGTCAGGTCATTGTCAAGTTTAGAGAAGAACAAAGACCACAGGTTCCTTCTGTGGCTACTTCATTAACTGGCAGTTGTTTTCCTCTTGAGTGGACCATGTGTCTTCTGACCTGCTGAGAAATGCTCCTTCCCCATGTGTGATGCTCACACAGCCCTTCCTAGTTTTGGAAACCATGTGATCTGCACTCAGAGATTCCCCACAACTGCACTGACATCCCAATTTATTTTTCTGTCTGGTGACTGACAAGGTGGTTGTTAGTGTTTTAAGCAATGAACTATAAGGAAATCCTTTTACTCTTTTTTTCTTTGGGCAGTACTGGGGTTTGAACTCAGGGCCTTGCACTTGATAGGCAGGTGCTCTATCACCTGAGCCACACTACCAACCCCACAGGAGACCCTATTATGTTCTAAACATTTTAAAGTGTGTATTCTAATTAGTTTGCTGAACTGGAGGTGAAAATGCAAAATGGTTTACTCCCATATCATGGTTGGTGGTGATGTAATTGGAAATCCAAACTAGTCTGTAGCTTGCTCATCAATGTAGGTACTTTTTACCTCTTCCTCTCTTGAATCCTCTCCCATTTCTTCCCGTCAAAACTGCTCATCAAGGTCACCAGTGATCTCCACATGGCCGCATCTATTGACCAATTTCAGTTGTCATTTTACATAAGCAGCAATTACCACAATTCCAAAGAAACAATTCTTTACTTGGCTTCATTGGATTTCCTGCCTCACCATCAGAGCCTTCTCCATTTTTCTTCCTCTGTCCTCTCTCTCTTTCCCACCTCCTGAGGTTGCTCCTAGTCCTCACACCTCCCTTGTCTTTCTGCAGTCACTCTTCAGTGACATTCATTCTTGCAGCTGGTTTCTACACTGATATCTTTTTGCATTTAAAACTAAAGCTCCAATACCTCCCTCACTCCCTGGATGCCAAATAGGCTTTGTAAACTTAGTCTTAAACCATTTTCCTGATCTGCACCCTACCTCATCTATACTAGAACCCATGACCTCACACATGCTAGGCAAGTGCTCTACCACTGAGCCACACCCCCAGCCCTCTTTCTGTCACTCCATACATCTAAACTTTAGCAAACCCTGTCAATTCAACCTTCAAAGTACATCTAAATCTTAATCCAGCTGTCATCCCAGCCTAGCTGTATTAGTCAATCACTCAACTGACCCATCAGTTTTACCCTGGCCATCCCTTTCCCTAGCATGTCACAGTGAAGTGAGCCACTTCAGAATCAAGACTCCCAGGCCCAGGCCTGATGCTATCTGGCACCTGCTGGCTTCCTGACTGCTTCTCCTCCATTCACCTTGCTCGTAGCGCTCCAGCCTGGCTGATTTCTGAGGTGGGCTCATGTAGCCAAGCTCACTCTGCCTCAGGGACTCAGGACTTCTGTGTTTTTGTACTTGAGCTTCTCCTGGTAAGCTTTGGGGCCCTGAATTTCCACATGATTTGTCCCTAATTTCCCTCCCCTCCCCTCTGTACCCTTCCCCTCCCCTCCATTCTTTTCTCTGCCATTCCTTCGGAAGGCAGTGCTGGGATCAAACCCAGGGCCTTGGGCCATGCAATTGCTCTATCACTGAGTCACATCCCCAGCCCTTGCCTCTCATTTTCTTTAGGTCTCTTCAAATGCTACTCTGAGAGTCCTCCTTTATACTAGCTGATTCCATTTTCTGTTCTACACCAGAGCACCTCATACTTGGTAATTTACAAGGAATTCGATTTGGAAGGCAGGGAAGTTTAAGACTGGGCAGCCACATCTGGTGAGGCCCTTCTTGCTGGTGGAGACTCTGCAGGACCCCAAGGCAGCACATGGCAAGACAAAGCAAGGGTGCCAGCTCAGGTCTCTCTCCCTCTACTTATAAAGCCACTAATGCCATCGTGGGGGCCCCTCCCTCATGACTTCATCTAACCCTAATTCACTCAAATCCACCCCCAAATACTATTAACATTGTGACTTTGGGGATAAAGTTTCCACCACATGAATTCAGGGAGGGACACACCCAAACCTCAGCACTCCCAACAAACAAGTACTTCCATAACTCTGTCCTACTCCCTGTGCTCTTTTCCTGCACGTCACTTATAGGTCACGCTGCGCTGGGTGTGGCCTGTGCACACTACACTAAATAGAGGTCCTGTGAGGGTAGTGGTTGAGCCATTGCTGGATGCCCACGATGTGGAATAGTACCTTGCTCCAAGCAGGCTCTTGGGAATGGAGAATGAGTGGAGGTTCTCAGAAGCAGAGACAGAGCTGGCATCTGACATCTATTTCTCTAGTGTCCAGGTCTTGCAGTCAGAATAACACTATGAGATGCTCTAAGGACTGTGAAGTGCCTTGTCCAGGCCCTGGCTGACTTCTGTCTGTGTCTCCTTCCAGGGCCATGGCTCTCCCAAGATTTGTGAGGATTTTGCTATGACCTGAGCCAGGACTGACGCTTGCTGCCACTGTCACACCAGGCCCCCCGCCCTCCCTCCCTGTCTGCCGCCTGGAGTCACCATGGGCAGTGTCAGCAGCCTCATCTCAGGCCACAGCTTTCACAGCAAGCACTGCCGGGCCTCACAGTACAAGCTGCGCAAGTCCTCCCAGCTCAAGAAACTCAATCGGTATTCAGATGGATTGCTGAGATTTGGCTTCTCCCAGGACTCAGGCCATGGCAAGTCCAGCTCCAAAATGGGCAAGAGTGAAGATTTCTTCTACATCAAGGTCAGCCAGAAGGCCCGGGGCTCCCACCGCCCAGATTACACGGCACTCTCCAGTGGGGACCAGGCTGGGGTGGACTTTGACCCATCCACACCACCCAAGCTCATGCCCTTCCCCAATCAGCTGGAAATGGTGAGCTGGGGTCTCTGGCAAGGATGCCTGGATAGGAAAGGAGGGGAAGAGGGAGGGAAGGGGGCGAGTGGGGAAGGGGGTCTTAGTGACCAAGAGGCCAGAACGGCAGCACTGAGGGAGGAAGTATTCAACTACACTGCAGAGATCAAAGGTGGCACATAAATGAAAGCATTGGTCAGCCCCCAAACCAGTCAGCCCTGCAGCAGAGAGCAGAGAGGAAAGGCTGAGCTCGGCTGGGAGGTACGTGGGTGGGCAAGGTAGGACAAAGGACAGCATGTTTAAAGGCAGGGGGAGGAGAGGGGCCCTGTTATTCTCTGGAAGAGCAGACAAGAGGACGCTGGGAGGGTGTGCAGCTTCTCTCCAGCTGACTGGTGGGGCTGAGTCTCCTCACTTACATCCTGAGTGCAGTAGCTCCCAGCTCCAAGCAGGGCCTGGGTGGGGGGGTTGTTTTTGGTTGAATAAGGGTAGGATTTTTGTTCTCATCATGAAGTGAACAGGAATGTATTCAGAAAGCCAACCCCCATGCCAGTCCAAGGAGTCCTTCCAGTGGACAACAAAAACAGTTTTCCTATTCCTCCCTGCCTCCACCCTGTGAGAATAAATCCATAGCATTAATGTATAGATCCGGCATCCCTTATCCAAAATGCTTGGGATTTTTAAATATTTGCATGTACATAATTTGATATTTTGGGGATGGGATCCAAATACCAACTATAAACAGAATTCTTTTATGTTTCCTTATACATCTTACACACATAGCCTGAAGGTAATTTTATATACTTTTAATAATTTGCATACAAAACAAAATCTCATGGTATGAAATTTTCCATTCAAGGGGATTGTGTCAGTGCTCAAAATGTTTCAGATTTTGGAACATTTTGGATTTTGGATTTTTCAGATTAGACTGATCAATGTGAAGTAGAGAGCACTTCTATGTTTACACAGAGCTTATAAACTGCAGTTTATAGAAGCATAATTTTTTCAAGTGATCTTTCAACCCTGAGAAGAGGCTCTGGCTAGCATTCTTGCTTCAGGCTTAATGGAAGAGGCAGAGGTACTGACCTCCACAAAGATACCAGCTTGTCAGCCTAATGTCTGACTATACCAGACACCAGGGCAGGTGCACTGACACACACATCTCAGCCCCTGAACTAAATGATGCTTTCCATCTCAAGAAGGATGAGACAAGCTGGCTGCGGGTGCTATTACCACAGCACTCAGGCCATCGCTAAGGACATTCCCCAGACACAGAGGGTTTTGTCCCTCCTAAGAGATGTACCACTTAGTTGCTCCAGAGACCCTGATGAGGTCAGCCATGGCTGCCAACTAAGAAGGGTGCAGGATGGGGTCGGCTCTGGTGGGCTCGTGAGGCTGGCACACGGACCTGGTGAGGAGGGAGAGGTGGGATGAGTGTGGAGGGGATTCAGTTCCATGTGGTTCTTTCCCTCTCCAGGGCTCTGACAAGGGAGCAGTGAGGCCAACAGCCTTCAAGCCCGTGCTTCCGCGATCTGGAGCCATCCTCCATTCTTCCCCCGAGAGTGTCAGCCACCAGCTGCACCCCATACCTCCAGACAAACCCAAGGAGCAGGAGCTGAAGCCAGGCCTGTGCTCTGGAGCATTGTCTGACTCCGGCCGAAACTCCATGTCCAGCCTGCCCACGCACAGCACCAGCAGCAGCTACCAGCTGGATCCACTGGTCACCCCCGTGGGGCCCACCAGTCGTTTTGGGGGCTCAGCCCACAACATCACACAGGGCATAGTCCTGCAGGACAGTAACATGATGAGCTTGAAGGCGCTTTCATTTTCTGATGGGGGAAACAAACTGGCCCACCCAGGCAAAGCAGACAAGGGCTCCTCGTGTGTGCGCGCCCCCCTCTCCACCGATGAGTGCACCATGCAGGAGCTGGAGCAGAAGCTGCTGCAGAGGGAGAGTATGCTACAGAAATTGCAGCGCAGCTTTGATGAGAAGGAATTCGCCTCTGGCCAAGTCTTTGAAGAGCGGCCACGGCATGGTAGGGACGAGCTGGAGGGCATGGAGCCCAAGAGCAGCAGCAAGCTGAAGCCAGCGTCACAGAAGAGCCAGCGTGCGCAGCAGATGCTCCATCTACAGGTGCTGCAGCTGCAGCAGGAGAAACGACAGCTGCGGCAGGAGCTCGAGAGCCTCATGAAGGAGCAGGACCTGCTGGAGACCAAGCTCAGGTCCTACGAGCGTGAGAAGACCAGCTTCGCCCCTGCGCTGGAGGAAACCCAGTGGGAGGTGAGGCCATGCTACATCCTGGTATTTTATGTCAGACCCCCTTCACCCACAGATGCTAGCCAGAGAGTGCCAACACAAATTGCTGAGGCATGCAGGGCTAAAGGGACAGCTTTACAACCCAAGGAAGCCCCTGTCCCCAGTCATCACCTTCACAGCCCCCAGAATTGAGTTTGTGACCTAGTCATTGATTGAGAAGCCAGAATTCAACCAAGGCCTAGCCAGGCTTCATCTGCATATAGAAGGCTCAAAAGAAGCACAGCCATGTTTGTGTTCAGCAGGTCTGAGGACCCAAGACAGAGTATAGGTTTATTTGTTGCTTTTGAGGGAAAGGACCCAACCTACTCTTAAGAGTGACCCAGTAGCTGGGTGTGGTGGCTCAAGCCTGTAATCTTAGCTAGTTGGGTGGCGGAAATCGGGAGGAACATGGTTCCATGCAAAAAGTAAATGAGACCCCATCTCAACCAATGACTGGGTGCAGTGGTGTGGGCCTGTCATTTCAGCTTTGTGGCAAAGCACAAATAGGAGAATCGTGATCCAGGCCTTCCCAGGGAAAAAGCAAAAATAACCAACACAAAAAGGACTGGTGGAGTGGCTCAAGTGATAGAGTGCCCGCCTAACGTGTGTGGCCCTGAGTTCAACATCCAGTACTGCAAAGGAAAAAAAAAAAAAAAGAGTGACCCAGTTAGTGGCAAGTCTAATTGAGAAAACAAAAGTGTAAGAATAGCTTCTACTTGGCAAACTAAGATGGAAACACAGGGGAGAAAGAAAAGGTAAACATGTGTACAGACTCAGGCACACTTGGAATGAGCCATGTGGACCTGGCCCGATTGGAAGGCTGACATAGTCCCCTCATACGACCTGCTAGCTGGAAAGCAGCTCTTCTCACCTGAATGACCCTAGAGGTGGGAGGCACCAGGGCAAATAGGGATGTGAGCACAGCAGGACTGTTCTCACCAAGAGTCCTACCTGAGGAAGGATGCAGATTGCTATGTCTGGTTAGACCACACCAAGCCTGGGTGAGGTGACTCAGGTGACTCACCCCCAGCAGCACAGCCTTCTGATTGCCTTGGAGCTTCCTGTCCTTCTCCTGGGAAGTGAGGTGACAGGTGTTTTCAGGAGGAGAGAAGAAAGGTATCCTTTCGATGGATGAGATGGGTAAGGGAACTGGCCAGGTGCGAAGGGAGAGTCCACTTTTTTTTCTGGCCAGGTTTCCCAAAGAGAAGAGGATGTTAGCCATGAGTGCAGTGCCTGTGCTCTTCCCCATCCATGTTGTCACAGAAGACTCTACCTAGTCCTGTTTCTAAGGCTCTCTGGACATCTCAGGGATACATAGTGAGTACTGCTCCTTGTGGTCCAGTCTGAAACTAGGTTGGACATTTCTGTAACCTCGTTCCCAGCTTGTCCAGTTAGGATAGTTGGTAAGACAATAAACAATAATTTATAGTAACAAATATATTATTATAAACCTATTTATCATAGTAATTTATAGAGAGCTTATTAAGTGCTAGATTTTTCTCATCTAATCCTTACAACCACCTATCAAGTAGGTGTTATCAAATTTTCAGTTTAGAATTAAGGAAACTAAAGTCAGGATAGCAAGTAGCTAGCTTGCCCAAGATCTGATGCATATTAATGATCAGAACCAGGATTTAAGCCTAATAGTGTAGAGCCAAGTTCACATTTTTTAGGGGAGTGGTCCTGCGGTTTGAACTCAGGTCTTTGCACTTGCTAAGCTGGTGCTTTACTGCTTGAGCCCCACCTTCAGCCCTTTTTGCACTGGTTATTTTGGAGATAATGTCTCACTTTTTTCACAGGCCATCCTGGACTGCTATCCTCCTCCTTTATGCTTTCTACTTTGGGATGACAGTTGTGCACCACTAATAGCTGTGCTCAGGTATTAGTTGAGATGGTGGGGGGTGGTCCTGTGAACTTTTTGTCCTGGCTGGCTTCAAACCACAATCCTCCTGATCTCAGACTCCCAACTAGCTACTATTGGAGGCATGAGCCACCAGCACCTGGCAAGTTCACATTTTTAATTGCTAGGCCATATTGCCACCATGCTAATGTATCCAGAATCACCCACAGCATAAGCAAGCAGTCAAGCCAGGATTTAAAGCTGGCTCATGTATCCATTGTGATTTTGTGCTGCTCCATCCATGAGACAAATGCAGGGTTGGTTTGTTAGTCAGCCTTCTGTCACTATAACCAAATACCTGAGACAACCAACTTACAAAATGGAAGTTTTAACTCAGTTTTGGAGGTTTCACTGTGTGATCGATTGGCCCCCATTGCTTTGGGCCTGTAGTGAGGCAGCATTTCATGGTGGTAGCATATGGCTAAGCAAGCCACTTAACTCGTGGACAGGAAGCAAGAGACAGAGGGGGCTAGTATCCTACAATTCCATTCAAAAGCATACCACCAATGACCTAAAGACCTCCCACCAGGCTCCACCCCTCAAATAACCAGGTCTTTAACACAATGGTCTTTAGGGCACATTAAGATTCAAAATATAGCACTTGGCCTTGAAAATAAATTCTTGGCCCTAGCCATGCATGGTGGGAGGGGCTAAGTCTCCACTAGACTGTGCAGTGTTTCACTGAGAGCAAGAAGGAGCTTCCAAAAGAAAGGAAAGGAGAGCAAATACAAAGGTGACCTCCAGGCTTGTTCCGGGAGCCCATCGGCATTACCCAGGCCCCAGCCTTCATTCACTCTGGAGACACAGCCAGCCAGATTGGCCATGGTTGCCTCCTCCTCCTTTTTCTTCCTCCTATACCTTTTCCCCTCCTCCTTCCTCTTCCTCCTCCTCCTACTCCTCCTTCTTCTTTTTCCTTCTGTCCCTCCTCCTCCTTTTTCTTCTTCTTCTTTTTTTTAAAGTGATTCAAACCCACCAGGGCTTCATGCATGCTAAGCAAGTGCTTTACCACCAAGCCACTTCCCTAGCCTAGCCATGTCCACAGTCCTTGGTCTCTTTCGAGCTACTCATGACCACAAATGGCCAGGACCCCAGAGCCACTCAGTCTGATTCAGTGACTTTGGTTTTCACCACTACTTTTGGGCCCACTGATGAGCCAAGATGGTGTAGAAGTGGTGAAGGAATTGGGTAAGGAGGAAGACCGCTCATTTGGCAGATGTGTACTGGGTACTACCTATGAGCCAGGCTGTGCTGACCACTGGGGTCCAGCAGGGTAGCATGAGATAGCCTTAGCTAGTAGAGAGGAGAGCGGGTGGGGTGAGTGTAGTGGGTGGACAGGGGTAGGGTCCCTAAAGTGAGAACTGTTGGTATTAAAGGTAGGCAGTGGAGCTGTGAGCAGTGGGTAGAGTGAACCACTGATCACTGAGCTACACGTAGCCATGGGTTCAGGCACAGACCAAGATTTGGACTCTGAATTGGGGGGCTCAAATTTCTCAGGTTTTCCATGCCACCAGGCCTGGGAACTGTAGCCAGGGTACCCTGCTAGGAGCTGCCTGAGCCCTTTGGTCAGTGATGTCACCTTGCCTGGAGTAAAGACACTTATCTCTATCCCCCTTTCTCACCCCCACCCTTGGTAGGTGTGCCAGAAGTCAGGCGAGATCTCTCTTCTCAAGCAGCAGCTCAAGGAGTCCCAGACGGAGGTGAATGCCAAGGCCAGTGAGATCCTCAGTCTGAAGGCACAGCTGAAGGACACCCGGGCCAAGCTGGAGAGCATGGATCTGAAGACACAGGACTTGGAGAGTGCCCTGCGCACCAAGGGCCTGGAGCTGGAGGTCTGTGAGAATGAGCTGCAGCGCAAGAAGAACGAGGCAGAGCTGCTGCGAGAGAAAGTGAACCTGCTAGAGCAGGAGCTGCTGGAGCTGCGGGCCCAGGCTGCTCTGCAGCGGGAGAGTGTCTCCCTGGGGCCTCCAGGGGCTGGGCCTGCCTTCTCTGAGGACATCCCTGCCCTGCAGCGGGAGCTGGAACGGCTGCGGGCTGAGCTGAAGGAGGAGCGGCAAGGCCACGACCAGATGTCCTCGGGCTTCCAGCATGAGAGGCTGGTGTGGAAGGAAGAGAAGGAGAAGGTTATCCACTACCAGAAGCAACTGCAGCAGAGCTACCTGGCCATGTACCAGCGCAACCAACGCCTGGAGAAGGCCCTGCAGCAGCTGACCCGTGGGGATGGGCCTGGGGAGCCCTTTGAGATTGACCTGGAAGGGGCTGACATCCCCTATGAGGACATCATTGCCACCGAGATCTGATAGGCTGTCTGGGGGAGGCAGGACTAGGGTCTGGGCACCAGGAGCAGGGGCTGGCCCTATTCAAAGAGAGCTTCCCCTTCTTTCTCCTGCTCGGCAACTCAGGCCCCTCTGAGGGAAGCTACCTCCCAGGCCCAGACCTAGGAGCCTGGTGGGTAGGGGTCACTGAAAGGCCTTTCCTGCCTTCTCCCTTGTTCCAGCCTCACCCACCCTGCAGCACATCGGACCTCCAGCTCTGAACCCCCAGATCTCCCAGAAATGGGGCCAAGGATTTCCATGCATTGGTCAAGGGCTCCCCAGACCTTGGCCTTTGTTCAAAAATAGTGAAAGATAGTCCGTTAGGAAAGGGGGTGACTGTTATGCAGGCTGAGTGGCCATGTCAAGGACAGATGGTTCCTTCCACCTCTGTCTCCAAACCCCTTTATCCCTTGGATACATTGAGATGCCTTGGGAATAGAAAGAAGCCATGTGCAACCAAAAGCCTTGGAGTCGGTCCTCATCATAACCTGAGCTGTTTTCCTCTGGCCTGGGAGGGGTAGAGGTCAGGGTGGGATGTTGAGAAGTTGGCTTAGCCCAGAAAGCTGCAGGAGGGAGGGGAAGAGGAGCAGCCCAGCAGTGTGGGGCTCCCACAAGACCTACAGAGGGAAGAGGGAGAGCTGAGTGTGAGAACCATGTGGTCCAGCATCTAATTGGAGCTGCACAGCCTCTGAACAGCTGGTGGCCTTTGACCTTGACCACCCTTTTTAAAGCCATAGATACTGAGGCCCTAGGGTTGGGCTCTGGGAAAGGGACACAGAAGGCCTAGCTTTCTAAGGGTCCCAGGGGAGCCTTCTGATCTTTCCAGCTGGGACAGAGCAGGGATTTCCCTGCCTGGCTCAACGTTGGCCAATGGCCATTGTGGAATGTTTTTCCTTCCCAAACATCAAGCCCTTGCTTGTGTCCAGAATATTCTGTCCACTCAGATAGGACACCTGTGACCTGGGCATTTCCTCTCTTGCTGGTGGCCAGATTCCATGGCTTCTCTTCTAATATCTTCAGTGCTAAATTCAAGTCTTGCCAGAGCCCATGCTGGGGGGCAGATAGAGGCTCAAATACATAGCCACCTGTTGCCCTCTGTCCACATGAAGCCCCACAAGAACCCCAAGTTGCAAAGAGTCTAACCAGAGAGCAGCAAACAGATTCCCCCAGAGAGGTCAGTGCCTCCAGGAAGCTGGGCTTTGTCTTTTGAAGATGTTCAGAGCTGGGGAGAGAGAAAAATGGAGTTTCCCAGTTGCTTGGTTCAGGGAACTGTTTTTTGTTTTTTGTTTTTTTTCTTCTTCTTCTTTCTTTTTCTTCTTCCTTTCTTGTCTTTTCAGAAGCAAGCCAGATCGAGCAGGCAGCCAGGCTGCTTCATGTTCTATTTCTGACTCTCACCACAGCTGCTGTGGGTAAGACAGCCAGCCCTTGCTGGATTCCTGCACCGTGTGCCTGCCTGCTGAGAGGAGCCCAGGGCACAGAAGACATAGGATGGGAGACTCTGAGCACTTCACAGTCCAGAACAGTCCCCAGTTCTGCCTCCCTGGCAGTTGTGGGGGCTGCTCTTCTTGCACCCCAGACTTTCCCTGGTGTAGCTCTGAACACCTTCCCTGTGGCTGGCTGTGCCTTCCATTCCCGGGGTTAGGTTGTATCTCTCCTGCCATCCTCCAATAACAAAGGAAGGCCTCTGGAATCCCAAACTGCTGCTCTTAGTCACAGCCTAGATTTAAACCCAGGGTGGACAGGCCAAAGGCCCCTCCCATCCTGGAGGGCAGTCCTCCACTGAGCACAGTTCAGAGTCCAGTCAAAGAAGTTCCATTTCTTGTTCATGGCCCTCACTTGGCTTCTGCAGTGAGGAGAAACCAGCCTGTGCCTTGTTTGAGTCCTTCCTCCAGTGAGGCTGCCCCCAAAAAATGGAGAATGAGGCTAGCTGCCCACCTGCAGGTTGGAGGATTCCCCTCTCCCCCACCACCAAGAAGAACAGCTAGAAACCCAGTGCTCTGCCTTCAAGATGTTGCTTAGGGGGCTGGAGTTATGGCTCAAATGATACAGCACCTGCCTAGCAAGCATGAAGTCCTGAGTTCAAACCCTAGTACCACCAAAAAAAAAAATTATATGAACTGGAGATATATCTCAGTGGTAGAGCATTTGCCTATGTGCAAGGCCCTGGGTTAGATCTCCAGCACCACACACACAGAAAGAAATTACAGGAAGATGTTACTATACCCAGAGCAGGCTCCAAGGCACAAAGCCCACACTTCATTACCATGTGGGCTGTTCTCCATCCACAGGGAGCTCAGCCCTCCCCAAGGCCCCAAGGTCCTGCCCCAGGCTATCTCAGACAGACATCGACCCAGGCCTTGCCAAACATTCATGATGGCACATGCCAGCCTTGAGCTGCCACCAGTCCAAGGCCCCAGGGCATCCTTACGTGGCACCAAAATGCAAGTGTGCTGTAACCTAGTGACCTCACCTTCCTGTGGGATTTCTTTCCTTCCTTGTCAAAAATCATTCTCACTATTCATGGTCCAGGCCAAATCCAACCTCACTGGAGGGAGGTTCTGAACAGTAGAGGTTGAGTGGGGCCTGAGGAATCTGAGCTCAGGGCAGGGAGGCAGCCTCCATGCTTGCTTGACCTGAACATGCTCCAGCTCTGCAAAGAACACTGGTCAGTACCATGTCACGAAGGAGGCACCTGTTCAGGTTTTGCAATGATCAGACTCCCATGGGGCACTTGGATCTGTTCTGTGAATTCCTGCTAGACACAGACTCAGCACCTGGGGCACCATGCTTCAGTGGGAATGAGAGGAGGGGCCGGGAGCTCAGCATCTCCCAAGAGGCACTGGTTGATTGATTTGTCCCTAGCTCCCCATCCTGGGCCATTTCTCAGGTGAAAGAATTGCCCAGGGAGAAGCTAGGCTGGGCAGTGGGAGTAGCAGCTTCCAGCTAGGGATTTCCCTGTGGCCTGAGCCCTCCTCTTCCCTGTCCCACAGGAGGCTACAGCCTCTGCTAGTGGAGCCTGTGCTCCTGGTCTGTCCAGTTGATCTTTGTGCTGTGTCTGTAGGCCAAGCTGAAGCTTCAGCAGAGGCTGGCTTCTGATGAACTGGCACTTGGAAGATTATGTACATAGTTACTTTTCTCTTTGTTGTTTCTGGTTTGGTTTGCGCTTGACAGCTTCATTTTATTTTATTTTTTGATGTCACTTTTTTGGCTATGTAAACTATTTCTGGTAATTTTATGTTTTTATTTATGAATAAAGAATGCCATTTCTCATGCCTTTCATGGCCACTTTTCTTTCCCCAAGCTCTGTCTTCCCTTTCTCTGTAGCCTGGCAGCTCCTTGCAACCTCCCCCTTTGGAATCAGAAAGTTGATGTCCCTTCCCACCATCCTAGGTGGTGAGGAAACCTTAAACAAGACAGTCTGGAGAAGTGGGAGGCACAGGCTGGGATCACACAGACTTTAAGCTAGGCCCCTCACAAGATGGTGACCTTACCTATGAAATGTGCCCGGGGCTGACCCAAAGAAAGGAGGGAACCAGGAACCAAGTGCCTCTGCAGATCCAGTGGACCCTCTCCAAAAAGGAGCCCCTCCCCACCCAAGGTGACTGCCTCCCTTTTTCCCTCCAACAGCTGCTCGCCTGACAGCCAATCCTTGGCCTATTGCATATGGCCTCTTGGCAAAAGACCAGCATGGCTATTGTTGTCACTGCCCTGGGAGCCCTGGTTGAGAGATGCTGTCACTGCAGTGGCCATCTGTCTGGCCTGCATGGTACCAGCGTGCCTAGTTCACCTTGACAATATTCCCTACTGTTCTGGGCTAAGATCCTGGGCCCCAATGGCTGCTGCTCAGGTGGCAGGAGACAAGGGATGTATTAAGAGGAAATTAAAGACAGGAGCCAGCGACAGACTGCAGGAGCAGTGCTGCAGTTGGGCAGGCAGGAATGCCGAGTGCAGTGTCTCCAGTGCCAAGGGTGGTCAGGCTTCCAAGAAGGGAGAGAGCCAGGGCAGGGGTCAACTTCTGGCTAATCTGAGAGCAAAAGTGGTGCTCCGCAGTTCAGCCTAAGCCTAGAAGGCCGGCAGTTTCCCCTGTTATACTCTGGGGGGTCAAGCTGCCAGGCCAGAGTCCCCACTCTGCTGAAAAGGTCACATGGGACGGGAGAAGCTGCTTGTCCCAGTGTCTCAGCTAGATCTGTCTTCAGCTGAGTGCAGCTGAGTGAATGGCTCAGCCAAGGCCATGTGCAGCACAGACTTGCTCCCCATCACCTGCTCTGCCAGAGTCCTGAACCCAGAACCATGAGCCCCCTCCATGACAGCCTGTTTAAGCCAGGATGACCCATCAGGAGCCACAAGTCACCAAAATGCCCTCCAGCAGCCCCTTTACTTGCCACCCTATCAGTCTCTCCATCCAAAAGGTTGGAAATGAACTTAAGGCAGAGCCACCTCCCACATGGAGGAGGGCAGCAAAGTGGGGAGCAAAGGTATCTCCCCATCTTGCTTCCTCCATGGCCTCCCCAGAACATTTCAGGCTTCTTATTTTAGAAAAAAAGAAGAAATAAAAAGAACAAAAGGAACGGAGCGTGCCTTCTCCCTCTCTCCATCACAACAGCTCAATCCTCTGCCTCCACCAGCATCCACAGTCCTGTCTCAAGGTATTTATATCCAGCCTGAGACAGACTGCACACCCATGCACGTGAGGACGAAGGCGGACTGGCCAGCAATCCTCCCAGAGCAATTCTCAGCAGCAAGTGCTTCTGGGTTATTTCAAGAAGGTCATGCTGCCCCCAAATTTGACCAGGGTGTCACCAGACCTGAAATATCACCATTTCACCCATTTATTCATGCATGCATTCGTGCAAGCATTCATTCAATAAGCATTTCTTAAACACCCAGATACTAGAAATACAGAGATAAATAAAAAACCAGTCAAGGTCCTTTCTCCTACAGAGTTTGCACTGTGGAAGCAAACAAGGTAATGGACGTGAGCAGGACGGTGTGTGCTGGCCGTGTCCACACAGTGCTGTGTGTGAAGGGGTATGGTGGGGGACATTAGTACAGGGAAAAGAAGTTTGGAGACTC